CTGTGTCTAACCTCTGATCTGGAAAAACATCATTGAGTAAATCATTATAGACAGGGTTGTGAAACAACACATCACTCTTAAACTGTACCTTTCAGAGTTGTTATGAATATTATCTTAGCCTTTGACCACACCCTTAAGACTTAGGCATTGAGCTGGGGATAGAAAGACAGAGTCAAAGTCCTGCAAGCGATTTCTCTCCAAGGAGAGACACTCAGAACTAATCCAGGCAGTTGGAAGACAAGTTTCCCTCTTTTTATACAGCCCTACCTCCCGTTTCCCAGTCCCTGGGAGCTTACAGCTCTCTAGTGGTGAAGTATTTCTGATTGATAAATCATTTACTTAACTGTTAACAGACTCCTGTTGTTGAGCAGGAAGAACATGAAATCAAACGAGCGATTTTGAAATCTGTGATGAATTATTGTTCTTGTAAAGATCTTACCTCGTCAGGTGTGAGGGACATAACCATCCTACCAGCTGTAGTCACTGAGGTACTACAGTGCTCCCCCTTCAGTCGAGTTGAGGGAATGGGCTGCAGGAAAGAAGCTTGACCCTCTCTTATTTACCTTCTTAGTGCCTGAGAGTGTTCTAAATCAGGGCAAATACATATTTGGGCTCTTTCAAAGGCCTGAGACTATAGGAAAAAATGGAATAACTGGAAGCAAAGGTAAAGACTAGCTGTTTAAAACTCAGGCAGAAACTAGCCGATTTTTAAAAAACTTCACCCCCTTTTTAAAAAAAAAATGAAAAAAATTGTAATAGCATTAAATTTCAAGAAGTTGAGGTTAACTTAAAATTAAATATTCAAATCATCTGAAATTAAAATTCATCTAAACCTAAGATCTTACTGAAAAATTTCTAGAGAAAAGGTAGGAAGTTGACAAGTTAGAGGCACAGTCAAAAGCAATTTTATTACTGTAGTTTAAAGTTAGCTATTACAACAAGGCCATTTAATGACACTTGGACAAAGGTTAGTATTAATGTGAAGGTTTTCAGATCCAAGTGGAGCTACCGGTCCAGTTGCCTTCCAGAACATCTCAGATTCAGAATTTTAGAAACAACTCCGTCTGTAAGAAAAGGAACTCATGAGACACATACCTATTGTAACAATCTCCAGCCCCCTGCTTCATTCCCTGTGTTCCTGTCTCAGCAAATGAAGCTGCCCAGGAAGAAAACCCAGGAAGCATTTTTGATGCTTTTTCTCTCCCCTCATTTTTGCTCAGAAAAACCAGAAGAGCATGAAATGTGATCCCTGCCTGTTCCTTACATCTCAAGTAGCTCAGGTAGCTTAACATTTGCTTGGAAAGCTAAGACAAAGACAAGTCAGAAAAAGAGACAAGATACAAGATGTATAGAATAAATATACATGATTCCTTATGATTGCCAGTGTAGTTTGCAAACCACTATGGCGTAGGATTTCAGGAAAAGGTGCAGTCACTCCAGGTGGAGTTTGTTTTGAGGTGGCCCAGGACCTAACTGATGAAGAGCTCCCTACTTCTTGCTCTGATGACCTGTGGCTCACCAGTATGTTCTCCCTGATCCTTTTTGCCAGGAAAACTCACCTACAAATGACCCTTTGTTAATGTCTCTTTCTTTTGCACAAGGTTGCCATTTGCAGTTTTAATCTTCTTGTCTCTTGGACTCCCTCTCTGATGCTGTTTTTCAGCACCCGAATGCTATACCTCTGTTCTAGGTTTGGTGGGTGCAGTACGTGTGCCTTGGTTGTGAAGACCCCATTTCCCCTTTTCGTAGTACTGTGAAACAGATTCATACCTACCTGTAGTTGTCTGTTCTGTCTTCTGGGACTAGCTCAGCCATATTGCCACAACCATTGCTTAAGGGGTGGTTTCATGGCCCTTTGGAAATTTTACTTAGTTGAGGCTAATTAAAATATTGAAGCACGATTAAATTATTAAAATATGGAACAGTAGCACATGTCTCACGACCATAAAAGAGGTTAGATCTCACCTGTGGATTCATTATTACTCAGTTTTTTATGCCGTGTGAGCATCACTTTAGAAGAAAGTACTTTCTCAGTTTCTTTCAGAGCATTCTGTCCTCTTATTGGGTATACATCTTGATTTCATTAATCTGTAAGCATATTATTAACCCCAAATACTAAAACCTACTTTCCAGAGCAAAGCCATAGGCATGGAGCAGTGTCCAGATTTTCACACTTTGGTGATAATTGTGCTTCTTAAGTTAGAGGGGAACATTTATCTCTAGTTTTTTTCTGTAGTAAGATACCAGAATATTTCTTTATCTTTTTTGTAAACCTTGATCAACCTTTTTTACCTTTTTTCATGTATTGCTAACATGTACTTTTTTGATGCATTGAAAAGGCAGTGATATCCCACTTTATTTATAGTCACCTCTCTCAGAGACATCAGGAACACCTCCAAAAACCAAAAACTGAGAAATAAAGGGCATTGAGCAGTTGAAATTGTTAGAAAATCCATGTACTTTACTCATAAAACTGTTCCTGAAGCCTCCATTCAGAGTCTTTTTTACCTAAAGTACCAGTCTAGTACTTGAAGTAAGGCTCCTAAACACAGCTGCTATTTCGCAGCCAATTATAAGAAAGATTTTAATAACATACAGACTGCCAGTGTGACTTTTTTGTATTAAGGGAGTCAGATTTACTTAATCGAACAGCCCCCAAAGCTATCTATATATTTTAGTTCAGTATAATAAAACTAACAGCTGTGGCACACGTAGGTGGCTCAGTAGGTTAAGCATCCAAGTTTTGATTTCAGCTCAGATTATGATCTCGGGTTATGAGGTCGAGCCCTGTGTCCAGCTCCACACTGGGTGTGGAACCTGCTTAAGATTCTCTCTCTCTTGGGGTGCCTGGATGGCTCAGTTGTTAAGCGTCTGCCTTCAGCTCGGTTCATGATCCCAGGGTCCTGGAATCGAGTCCCATATCAGGCTCCTTGCTCAGCGGGAAGCCTGCCTCTCCCTCTCCCACTCCCCTTGCCTGTGTTCCCTCTCTCACTGTCTCTCTCTCTCTGTTAAATAAATAAATAAAATCTTAAAAAAAAAAATTTCTCTCCCACTGCCCCTCTCCCCACCCCACTCACACATGCCCTCTCTCTCTCTCTCAAAAAAAACCCACAACAGCTAAACTTTAATAATAGTGAACATGGTAACAACCCTGGGTCATTAAGAAAGAATAAACTATGTACAGAGGAGGATATAATTTTTAAAAGACTTCCATCAAAAATACTTTTTAGAATTTTAAATGTTTGGTACTTGAAGTGTAAACTTTATGTGGAAAATTCACTTTAGGTTGTGAGAATGAGTTATTTTTTATTCAAGTATGTTTAATGTGACTGGCTGACAGTAATGGTAACTGATAACTTTGTAGGTTTTCCTTTGTACTAATCCTAAGTGGAAGAGAGGGCACCTGTGTTAAGACCAAAAATAGTTAAGTGTTCTGGCCAAGGTTACACAACTAGTAAGTGGCAGAACACTCGCTACTGTCTTATAATACTGTGTCCTGTTACACATATTATGCTGTTGGTACCACCTGACAGACATAGCAACAGGGGGGGATGAGGAAGGCAGGAGGCCAATGTAGGCTGTCTAAGGTAAGCTTTCCTGGAAAGGCACCTCATGGCTGGGAGATAATGTCAGACTTTGAAGGAAAAGGAGAATTAGCTGGAAGATACTCTCAAGTAACATCTGTGTAACACATGTTTACTAAGCTGCCCTCAGTGCCCCGACGGTTTCATAGTCAGATAATAGTCTCCTTAGGGAGACTCAGGAAGAGAAAGAGAGATTGACAAGTTGTATAAAACTCCAGAAAACTGGATGGGCCCCTGAGTGTCTCAGTCGGTTAAGCCTCTGCCTTCAGCTCTGGTCCATGATCTTGGGGTCTTGGGATCGAGCCCTGGGTCAGGCTCCCTACTCAGTAAGGAACCCGCTTTTCCCTCTCCCTCTGTCCTTCCCCCTGGCTTGGGCTTGCTTGCACTCTCTCTCAAATGAATCATCTAAAAAACAACAAACCAAAAAAACCCCAGAAAATTGGAGCTCTCCAACTGCTTGAATTTAGTAAAACCAAGACATCCAGAAACACTGAGCAGTCCTTGACAACCCTCAGCTGTCTGAGTGGGACTTGCTTTTAGCTTATTTTGAGTCTAGTATCATCCTTGCCCGCCACCGCCCACTGTCCAGGTTAAACTTCAGAGTTGCCCTGGATAACTTACGGAAGTGGTTGTCTGATGTAGAATGATGTCTTGTGAAGTACTGTAAAATGCTTGTTGAAGGTCTAGGAGAATGTAGCAGGTGGGGCTTGACTGAGAAGACATCCGGCTGCCTCCTTGCAGTGACAGAACCTTGCAGTTTACAGTGGGATTTCCGGTTTCCTTGTTTAGAGCCTAGGAAATCAGCAATTGCTTGTAACTCCATCTGTCATTGTGTCTGAAATGTGAAATTACCGATCTTAATTCTCATTGCCCCAGGAAGGGGGCAGAAGAATTCCTGTATTACTGTTTGCAGAATTATAAGTCCAGCCAATTAGTCATGCTGAGAAACCATGTTAAAACTACAATTTCTCTAAGTCCAAAGTTTGTGATGTAGTACGTCTGAATTTTTGTCAGTGTGGTGGACTTATAAATCAATGACTTTTTAATAACAGGAATACCCAGGCCTAAAACGAAAGTATATGTTAACTGACTAGTTAATAATGTGGCCAAAATTTTATTTTTGGAAAAATTCTTATCAATGATATTTCTTCTCTATAAGATAAAAATTATTATGAATGATCACTTAAAAAGTATGAAGGATGTTACTAAAATTTGGGAATATATCAGGGCTGGCCTTATATTTTAATTAGGTAAATACTCACTTATTAAATGAAATTTATATGGGTGCTTAGAAGCAGTTTTAGAATGTCTGTTCATTCTCTTTATAGCATGAGTAAAATCTGGTGAATTTCATAATGTAAAAATGTTCTTCAGAAAATGACCATACTAATTTCTCCTTTCTCTTTGTCCATCTAGTGAGAACTCAGCAGAGGCGATAGCAGTAGATTCTAACAATCAGTCGAAGTCCCCACTGGAGAAGTTTATGGTCAAACTGTGCACTCATCACCAGAAGCAGTTCATCCGCGTCCTGAACGATCTGTACACTGAATCCCAGCCGGGCACGGAGGACCTGCGGCTTGATTCTGGAACGATGGATGCATCCACTTGCAATGCTGGCTGTGCCCAGCTAGGCGCCAGACATAAGGAAAAAGATGCTGTGTGTCTCGATATGAAGTCTCCTCCTTCTGTAGATTTGTTCGTAGACTCATCAGACCCGCACAGCCCTCCACACTTGACAGAACAGGCCCTGAAGGAGCCTCCTCCTGAGATAAACTCTGCAGATGGAAGAGAGAATGCCTTGACTATTATCCAGAAAGCTTCCTCTGAACATCCAACCACTAAACCTAATTCTGGTAGTTCAACGGATAGTTCCACTCTGGGATACCTCACCGCATCTAATTCTTCCTCATTAAGCTTCCACCACACCTCTAAGAGCTTGGAGGGGCAAACCACTGGACAGGAGCAAGACACAAATGTGAAAATATGTGAGGATGGGAAAGACCATATGCAGAGCTCAGCTTTAGTAGAAAGTCTGATTGCAGTGAAAGTGGCACCTGAGAATAGTGAGGAGAGCAACAGCTGTATTGTTTCTCAAAGAAATTCATTCAAAGCTTTATCAGAAGAGGCTTGGGACTCAGGGTTTACTGGGAATTCACCTAGAACTGCTGACAAAGAGAATGCTTTACTCTGTAGCTCAAAAACACCTATGCGCCAGGAGTTAGAGTCCAGTGAACAAGATTCAAGGCCAAAGCAAGAGAACCATCTTCACTCACTAGGAAGAAATAAGGTGAGTTATCACTTACATCCCAGCGATAAGGGTCAGTTCGATCATTCCAAAGATGGTTGGTTAGCCTCCAGCCCCATGCCAGCTGTCCACAAAGCATCTAACGGACATTCGCGAACCAAGATGATATCAACCTCCATTAAGACAGCTCGGAAGAGTAAGAGGGCATCAGGGCTGAGGATAAACGATTATGATAACCAGTGTGATGTCGTTTATATCAGTCAGCCAATAACAGAGTGCCACTTGGAAAATCAAAGATCAATATTATCTTCTCGGAAAACAGCCAGGAAGAGTACTCGAGGATACTTCTTCAATGGTGATTGTTGTGAGCTGCCAACTGTTCGCACGCTGGCCAGAAATTTACACTCTCAAGAGAAAGCGAGCTGTTCAACAGTGGAGCCAGAGGCAGTGGTCACTGCCAAGCAGACCCTCATACTTTCCGCCCCTGGACCTGCTGTGGATGTGCAGTGTCCCAGAGAAGACGACCATGAAGAACCTAGTAAAGAAATAACCTCCCTCAAGGAAGGAGAAAGAGAAGCTTCCTCTGAAAAGGAATCTCAGGAGCCTGAGGTTTGCCCCATGGCAAATAAACCAAATCCGAGCAGCTCTCCCAGGTCAGAGGAAACAACAGCCTCCAGCTTGGTGTCGCCTCTCCCTGCTCACCTTCCCGAAGAGGACACGCCAGAAGGCAGCTCCATGGTCTCAACTCCCACAGCAAGTGGGGTGGCTTTCCCGGAACAAGATCAACAACCAGTCCAACTGCTGGATATCAAGGAGGGGACTGTCATCCAAGACGGTCACCTGGTTTCCTCTGCTGAGAGCATTTCTGAGGGAGGCAGTGACAATGTGGTTTCTAGGCCTCATTCTTCTCCTGAAACAGTCAGCAGAGAGGAAGGTCCTCTGGGCTCAGAAAGTCAGAGTCCGCCCGTGGGTTTGGAGCCTCCCCTGAGCCTGGGAAAAGCTGAAGACAACCAAAGCGGCAGTACTGAGGCCAAGACTGAAGAAGACACTCAGGAGCTGGATACCTGCCCACCCTTGAAGGAAAGCAGCACTTTTACTAATGAAAACCCCGGAGAAATTGAGGACAGTGAGGCAGCAGGTGATACAGGAAAATCAGAGGGACAGAGCAGTGATGTAAAACTTTGTTCAGAAAAAGATACGTGCGATCAAAACATTGATTCACCTGAAGAGAATGTGGACAAGAAGAAAAAAAGTAAAAAACTCCCTGAGGCCTCTGACAGGTGCCTAAGGAGTCAGCTTTCAGATCCTCCGTCTGCCGATAGGTGCCTGAGAAGTCAAAGTTCGGATTCTTCCTCTGCTTGTCCTGAGATCAAGATTTCTAAAAATCCTGGTATGAAACGTTCTAAAAAAGAAGGGTGCCCTGGGGAGACAGCATCTGAGGGCCTTCTGGCTGACGGCTTCCATACAAAAGGTCTGGAGGACACTGAAAACCCAGGTGTTAATGAAAATCTCTCTGAGAAAGACACTGAGCAGGAGGGCGAAGGAGGTGGGATCATCACCAGGCAGACTTTTAAAAACATGCTGGCAAAAGAAGTCAAGGGGGAAGAAGGAGATATTTTCCCCAGCAATGATCCCATAACCACAGTGGGCCAGCCCCTGCCTGGAGAGAGACTGGAAATCTATGTTCAGTCTAAGTTAGGGGAGAAAAATGCTCATGACCCCTCAGAAAGTATTCCTTGTACTTTCCCAGAACAATCAAAAGAGAAGCCAGAACGAATTCCCACACAAGATCTGGAGGAGGTTGTGAATGAGGTCGGCACTGAAAACACCCAGTGTAAAGATGGTGAAAGTGACCTGCCGTCCAGTGCACTGGGCTTGTCAAGTAGTGGAAGTGGTGATGGTGCTGGGCCCCCAAAATGGGTACCGAGGCTTACAAGACTGACCTCTTCAACCTACAACCTAAGACATGCTCATTCTCTGGACTCCTCAGACACTGCTAGAGTGACTTCAGAAAAGGAAGCAGCACAAGCAAACCCAATGCCAAAGGAAGATGAAGCTTCGGAGAGTGGAGATCCCTTAGAAGAGGAGGATGTGGACCCCGTGGTGGACGACCAGCCAAAGTTTGTGGAATGGTGTGCAGAGGAGGAGAACCAAGAGCTTATTGCCAACTTCAATGCCCAGTACATGAGAGTTCAGAAAGGCTGGATCCAGTTGGAGAAAGAAGCCCAGCCAACACCAAGATCAAGGAACAAGTCAGATAAACTGAAGGAGATTTGGAAAAGCAAGAAAAGGTCACGGAAATGTAGAGGTTCATTGGAGGTTCAAAAGTTTTCTCCTGTTCAGATGCTGTTTATGACAAACTTTAAATTATCTAATGTTTGCAAATGGTTCTTAGAGACTACTGAAACCCGGTCACTGGTGATCGTGAAGAAGCTCAACACTCGTCTTCCGGGAGACATCCCCCCTGTCAAGCATCCTCTTCAGAAGTACTCTCCTTCCAGCCTGTACCCCAGTTCACTACAGGCTGAGCGCTTGAAAAAGCACTTGAAGAAATTTCCTGGAGCTACTCCTGCTAGGAATAATTGGAAAACACAGAAGCTCTGGGCCAAATTTCGAGAAAATCCTGACCAGGTGGAGCCAGAGGACACCAGTGACGTCAGCCTCGGTCCCAGTTCTGAAGACAGCGTAGAGGAAGTCAAGGAAGGACGAAGTAGCCATCCTCCCACAAACTCACCTACCCCAGCCAGTACCCGGATCCTCAGAAAATATTCCAATATTCGAGGAAAGCTGAGAGCCCAGCAATGTTTGATCAAGAATGAGAACATGGAAAGCCCGTTTGGGCAAGCTGTGGAAAGTAAACAGAGTTGTAAGAGTGTATGCATCAACCCTCTGATGTCCCCCAAGCTTGCCCTGCAGGTGGATGCAGATGGGTTTCCTCTTAAGCCCAAGAGCACTGACGGAATGAAGGGAAGGAAAGGGAAGCAGATGGCTGAAGTCTTGCTGAAAGCAGAAGTGCAGAATAAACGTAAGAGGACAGAAGGCGGCAGCACTCAGGACAGGAAGGACAAGGGACCGGTGGTGAAAGCCAGCAAAGACAAGCGTCCTGATGGAACCGCCAAAACCGCTGCTGCTAAGAAGCCAGCTGCCAGGGACAGGACCAGCCAGCTGCCCAGAAAGACGTCCTTAAAAGAGAATAAAGTGAAGATCCCTAAAAAGTCTCCCGGGAAGAACTGCCCTCCCTCTAGAAGGGAAAAAGAGAATACAAACAAAAGACCCACACAGCCCCCTGCCTCGGAGGCAGGGACGAAACCTGCAAAGCAAAAGGGGGCAGGTGAGTCCTCTTCAAGGCCACAGAAAGCCACCAACAGGAAGCAGAGCAGTGGAAAGACTCGGGCCAGACCCTTGACAAAAACCCCGGAGAGCAGTGCCCAGAGAAAGCGAAAACTAAAGGCAAAGCTGGACTCTTCTCACAGCAAACGGAGACGGCTGGATGCAAAGTGATCGGAAGGCTGGCAGCCACGAGTTAAAACTGTCCTGCAGAAGTAACCCTGCATTGTGCATTAACTAACTCTGCTTTTATAAGCTTATCCAGCCTTTCAAAGCTGCAGGTAACAGAGAACACCACAACTGAAGATGCCAGAAAATGCGCCTCAGGTGGAGAAGGGAACTTGCAGAGTCTTTCTCTGAGGCTGAGTAAGGGAAGTTATATATTATATTCTGGTTGTTCCTTGGGTTTTAAACTTGGAACCAGGCAGTTTTAGTTTTTAAAAGTACAGTGCCTTATTTATCCTTTTTGTTTTTAAATTTACGAAAGCTAAAAAGCTGATCTATGTGATAAAGGCTTGTATTTTATACTTGATGCACAAGCACTTGTAGCCGAAAAGATCACCATCATGCACAGAAAAGTAGCTTTTCAGCAGCCGCCCTGCAGCGTCTGTCCATGAGCAGACGCTCCTCTTTGCAAACCCAAGCAGTGAACTTCCCTCTCTGTCTTGTTTGTTTGTTTAAATGATATTCGAAAGCTAAACCAAATCATTTTTATGGTATGTGGAGATTGCAGAGGGAATTTATAATTATTATGAAAAATGAGTATTTCTGTTTTCCTTTTTAAAAAAAATCAGATTCATTGTTAGTCACTCCTCCCACTTTTGACTTTATGTCATTTAAAAAAATGTATTCTAAATGATGCACCCATGGGACAAAAGATGGGTCACAAGGTGTTACTATTGGGTTAGGACCTCTAAAAATTATTTACATCCCCCAGGTGATTCACATTACTGATTCTTACCATCCTTTTCATTTTTGGCCTTGCAAGCTTGCTGGCATTCGAATAAGGCTTTCACCTGACTTCGGGGGGAGGGGGGGAATGTAGGATTTTTTTTTTTTTCATCCTGTAACTGTAACTTGACAATTAGGATGAGAGTGACTGTTCTAATCTTCTTTCTTACCCTGAATATTTCCATATTCGAAGAAAGCTAAGTTGTTATTTCCAGTAATAGAAAAGTTTAGGAGTTTGTGTGTGCATGTACATTTGGGTGCATTTGCCTGTGGTTATCAGCCACAGATGTCTCCCAGCCCCAGTACAGTAAAATTCTTTCTTCCCCATGCAGTGTGCTAGGGTGTTCATGAGCTGCATAAGTAGCACAGGCCAGATGGTTCAAATGTGGCTCAGGGTCTCTACATGAGTATCCGCAAAACCAGTTTGGCGCCAGACTCAGAAAGGTCTAAACAGCACAGAGTCACATGAAGGTCAGAGCAATCTTGCAGTTGGAGGAAGCAGCTCAGCATCTTGTAGCAGGGCCCACGTCCCTCCTCCCACCTGGAGCTGATGTTCAGTTGGCTTGTCCTAATGTGAATGTACGTGTTTCGAGTGGGTGTTAGCATTCTGACTGATGAGCACCATACTGGTACTTAACGCTTGGAGTATCACTCTTGCCTCTCTCACGGCAGGTTCTGTTCCTTGGCTCAAAGGTGAGAGCTGCAGTGTTTGTAACTAATGTTGTTTGCCTTTCCCGAATGACGCCTGAGGTGGTTGCAATTGGTTTTACCTTGGTGCCTGTAACTTTGCTCCATTACAACGCAGTGTGTACTCAGCATTTCCACTGATCCACTCTGCAAAGCAGGCTTGGTTGTGAGAGCTCCTCTGCTCTGTGCTCTGTCACAGAAGTAGGCTTGTATGGACAGGGGCTCCTCTGTCTTTTTTACTTAAACGTTTCCATTTAGATTATTCAGATCTGTTTAGGTAAACCCAAATGGACTTTTTTCATGCATAGTTCCATCAAATCATGATAAAACAGGGCTTCTACCCATTCTGTTAAAGGTTTGCTGTATATAATGAGAACTTCTGCTGACTGGATAAGACTGGAGAGAAAGTTCGATTCATGGGAAATTGAGAATTGTGTTGAATTTCATAGACTATCTTCAATGAAGCCTTGACTTTCTTTCCCTTTATGTCTCCTCTATCCCATGAGTCTCTTTTTTTTTCGTTTTAATATCTTTGACTTTGGCCATTCAAGAGCTACCTATATGAATGAAACTGCTGAGTGTGTATGTTGGGTAGCCCTTTCTCAGCATTAAGTTGCACAGAAGCATTAGTATGTTTTGAGTAGGTTCGGTTAATCTTTGAAAGTGGTTTTGAAGTTTTTAAAAAATATTCTCATATAGTCGTCACTGGATCCTGTTTTTGTGGTGACTTAAACAGGTTAGGTTTGCTGAGGCCACATGTGCTGACTCCAGGTACCCCCCCTTAGCGGCACGCAGATGCCTTGTAGTGCTGCTTGGGTGAGGTTGGGGAGAGGTGTGAGGCAGTGAGCAGGGGCAACCCGTCCAGTTCCAGGCTTATAATGCATTCCATTACCTTCCTAAGTTCTTTTTCATTTTTAAAAAGCGTGCTTCAAGGTAATAGCCTTTCCTGTCATTTTAGGCTGCAGCTGAGAAAAGGTATCAGTGTGGATATGCATTTTTTTATATATACATACACTGCAGTGGTCATCCTTAAAATCAACTTAACATTTTATAGTAGTAACAACACTTCAATAGACTGAGATTCTACATAATTAGAACACTTAAAAGTTTAGAGGTATTTTTATATTTGTTGAATCTCATTTTTGCTGATTCAGTTAATTTTGCTAATAGAAGAAGCGGGGGAAAAATGAACTTGAGGGCTGGCTCTGAAATGCCCTTTTACACTTACAGCCAATGCTGTCTAGCCGCTCCTAGACACCTCCAAGCCAGACCTGCAGCTGACTCAAGTCTTCCCTGGTTTTCCTTGTCTTGCAAAGACGTCCTCTTCATAGCTGTCATCGCAGTATGGCTGGCCGCCAGATGCAAAGGCAGTCTGTCCCACATTCCAGATTCCAAATCACGAAAGAATTCTTCTCCTGGGGCTAGCACCATGACTGACCCAGCACCAGAGCTGAAGTTGCTGATCAGAGAACACTGGTATTACCTCTGAGCTTCTGGGAGAGCTCCAGGGAAGCAGTCTCGGAAGCTCTACCTTAGCTCCCCAGAGCTGGGCTCTCTTTGGGAGACCCCATCTTCTGGCTCCCACTTCCTGGCCTCTAAGGCTCCCTGGGTTTGGGAGGACAACATGCAGACCCTCCGTAGTCAGGGCCCAGAGCCTCACCACAGCACTCCCTCAGACCTCAAACAAGCTACAGCACACAGGGAGGCAGCCACCCTTTATTCTGCTCTTAAGGCTTCCTGCCCAGGAACGTCACTGCTGTCTGTCAGTCTGCAGTTGCTAGATCCTTGGGTCCCATAGGTAGGCCAGTTCTGTCACATGTGTATTTCAGTAAAGATTTCTACACAAGCCTTCTCTGAAAACAATAAAAATCTTGGGCTGTGGGTTTGGTTCTTGTGGTAGTATGGATAGGAGAGGTGCATGTCGCGTCCCTTCACAGATGTGGTGCTCCTGACGGGTTCCTCTGTGCGCTTCTCACTGTTCATGTAGGATATCAGTGGAACATGTCACTTCAAGACAGTTGCTTTGAACTGAAGTTTGGTCTCTTTCCTGCCTTGTGATGGATTGTGTAGTAAGGGCTATAGCTGTTACTTTCCTCTCTGGACGGCGTCTTGCTGATTGAAGGACCTGAGAGCTAAGTAGGAAAGGACAGCATGCGACACAATGCAGACATCACCATCCGTGAGTCTGGTGGCTTGTCACCACACCTGGGACTGTCTTGGAATTTCCCAGGGTGCTGGGTCCAGGAGCCACCCCCGTTCCTTTTGGTTTCCTGTCAGGCCACACAAGCCATCTTTTTTACAGACACCCTATCAAGGGTCTGTAGAATATGGGCTGGTCACTCTTTTGTAAATAAAAGTTTATTGGAACATAGCCATGCCCATTTGTTTATGTATCTTTCATAGCTGCTTTCCAGCACAGCGGAGTATCTACAACAGACCATATGGTCTGCAAAGCTGGAAAGATTTACTGTCTGGGCTTTTCAGAAAAAATTTGCCAACCCTCCTTGCTTAAGAAAATAATCCTTTTTCAAGAACAAACTTTGCATGGTTGATCTTTCTTTTGCCTCCCCGTCCTTCTTTTCTTTTCTTCTTTCTCCTCCTTATCTTCCCTCAGTTTTGTTCTTCCTTTTAGATTTCTTTCTTTCTCCTTGCTGCAGAAGAGACACGGTGTGTTGTTACAGCACACTGAATACGTCTCCTAACACTTGAGCTACCGCAGCCTCCCATCTGCCTTCTCCAAGCCGCCCACAGTGAGGCCTCCGGCAGCCTCCAGAGTCAGGCCCCACAGGCAAGGAGGGCCTCAGAGTTCTTCGTGCAGCCCAGGCCTCTCATTTCACTCGGTCCTTATCTTAGACCTGACTCTGGCTTCACATCTTGAGTGTTACTCAGACAAGCCAAGATTTGGGTTTTGTTTGTTTGTTTTCAAAATTGAGAATACTTCAATTAGAGGCTCAGTTTTCTGAGCCCCATGTTTAGGGAAAATATGGAAAAAGCCTTTTCACAGAAGGAAAACAAAGTGTAGTCACTAACCCAAAGTATTCATTATGTAATGTTTTCGGCCAACTTCTAGGAAAATAAAAATGTATTAGTACTGATATTTTTTTAGTCACATACTCTCCTTTCAAAATAACTTCATTAAAGGCAAGCCAACAAATAAAAGAATAGGAGCTTGCTTGAACATGCTCTTAGGAAAGAATAGGAAATTGGAGCACATTAGAACCTGAGTATGACTGTGAAGTTGTCCATTGTGTCTTTGGATCAAATCCAGTCAGCCTCCAAGCTGTTGGTCTTTCCTCTCCCCAACAAGTCAAGGATAAGCTTCTATACTGTTCTGCAAATGAAGTTGAATGCCGTGTTAGTGAAAAAATTTCTGTCAGTGGCTCCAGAACAGTGATGATTTCAATTATTTTGAAACAGTTAATTATTATTTTGACTTCTCAGCTATTAATTTTTGTTTTCTTATGGCTTGATGTCCACTGAAATGCTGGAATTTTTTCCTACAAGTTTGAAATCGTGTCTATGTATATCTCATTGGGAAGGCAGTCCTCACATCCCCAGCAGTAAGCATTCTTCCCCCGGCTTGCTCCCACATCCTTTTTCAGGGAAGAAATGAAAATTTAAAAAGTTATTATATTGAAAACAAGCAGAATTGTGGAAAGCCTTTTGAGGTAACCTTCAATACAGTTCATGCATTGACATGTCAGAACAAACTGCTGTTCTACAGTGGACAGATTGGAAGACTTGAAAGTCTGACCTCTCTCCTTTAACGATATTAAGTCATCCTCAGGCAGAAACCCAGAGCTCTCTGATGCTGCTTCCGACTTCAGGCTTTGCCATGTTGTGCTGGGGGACCCAGAGGACCACCTGGGGCACTTCTGCAGACGGCATGCTTGCTCATGCCTTTGCTCTTGGAATTGAGCCAGCGCTGGTCAGACCCTTCCATTACCTCCTGGCTGCCTGATCTTCCCTTTTCCAGAGCACTGGTGGTGTACTGCTCGGTGCTCAGGAGACATCCTCGGCTTCGGTGTTCAGCGGGGCAGCTGTGTGGTTATGCCCACCTGGCAAGCACAGTGACGCACAGAGGCTTTCTCCCCTGCCTGAGACCAGTCCACGTCAC